TGGTATTCCTGCACAAGGTCATGAGGGGACTGTCCCTCGGCACCACCTGTGTCCTGAGTGTGCTCCAGGCCCTCACCATCAGCGCCAGTGGCTCCTTGCTGGCCGACTTCAAAGTCAAATCTGCAAACCCCATCCTGGGGGCATGTCTGTTCCTGTGGGTCCTCACCATGGCCATTATCAGCTACCAGCTTCTCTGCAGGGTGGCCACCCCAGTGCCAGGCAGCCAGGTCTTCTCTTTGTCAACAGCCACTGCTCTTTCCTGCTGAGGTACAGGGGTGTTTTTCTCCTCCTGGTAATGCTCAGAGACATCTTCTTCGTGAGCCTCATGGCCGTGTCCAGTGGGTGAGCCTCATGGCCGTGTCCAGTGGGTACATGGCCACCCTTCTGAACAGACATCAGCAGCGCTTCCTGTCCCTCCACGACTTTAGGCTGTCCCGCCAGACCTCCCCTGAGCACAGGGCCACTCCCAGCGACCTGCAGCTGCTCGACTGCTTTGCCACCCTGTACTGTGCAGACTCTGCACTCTCCCTGCTCATCAGCGGGATGAGGAGAAATGTCCCCATGCTCTGGAGCATCCACAATATGGTGACCAGTGGTTATGGCATGCTCAGTCCCCTGGTACTGCTCAGGGCGGACACCCAAATCCTGAACATCACAGGAGCCCAGTGAAGGAACAAAGCTCTGATGCTGACAAGATGCAGCTCCTCCACTCTCGCTTACAAATCCCTCTATCCACACAAACTTCTTTCTGAAATGATTTCAGCAAGTACACCAGATTTACTGTCTGGTAAGGTTATCTATGTGACTACAAATGACCTTGTGTATGGTTATACTTGATATCTGCATCAGTGTCTTTAGGTACATCCACGGAATTTTACAGTCTCATCTTATTTTCTTTCTTCTTGCTTTATGAAAACTTCTTCTAAAGAAGTTCTATTAGAGCCACATTTTTCCTTATTCTGTCTAAATATATGCTATTTTAAAAAGAAGACTACCATATGGCTATCAATCAGGCAGTGCCATAACCCTAAATGTCCATAAAAAAAAAATAGATATTGTGTAGCATGGTCCAGGCCATGGGTTCAATCCACAGCAACTACAGGAAAAAGAAAAAAAATGGATAAACAAATGCAGTGGGGCTAGAGATGTGTGTATGAACAGGCACACTATATATCCATATTCACACACATGTAAGCATATATATATA